CTCTCCTTCTAGAAAGACACCTTCACCTAGTTAATTCACATTGTCCTCCAGAACAACTCAAATGGCTCCACTGGGAGACCGGTGGATCTGACAGGCTCCATTAGCTGCATCCTCCATGCTTCTTTGTATACACCTGTATCATGATACTGCCATTTAGGTCTGCAAGTCTTCCTTTTTCTGCGTGTCATCTGGGCTATGAGCAAGGAACTGACAAATAGGAGTTCCAAAATCTTTGCTGATTCTAAAGGAGGAGCTAATTGCTTCAGATTGGGAAATGGGTGAGAGGTGAAACCAAGTAGAAAACTTAAGAAAAACTATATATAAAGTTGGTGTCATTTGAAATAGATCTTGAAAGGATGAACAGTATTTTCCAGATGTACAACCAAGAAGGGCTTTCTAATCTGAGAAAATTACATGAGGCAAGAAATATCAGGTTGTGTTGCAGTATGTGTGGGGTGGGGGGATGTTGATAGTATCTTACTGCACTCTTCATATGAGGGAGCAGATGGAATCCATACCAAAAATACATGTCTTATCAACAAATTCATGGGAGAAATGGTCTCACATTTGTTTCCCTTCCCTACAGGCAATATATACTCATACACTACACCTGGATCCACTCCACCCAGCACCACTTAATACAGTACATTACAAAATTTGACACTGAAATCATTATTGTGAATTGAAATACCTACTACTCTGAGGAAGAGAGCCTTCTATTTAGTGAAAAACAGGTATCTGAGTTAACCTGGTACAATTCCTAAATAGTTAAGAAATAGAGTCTTGGGGGAAACAGTCCTATTACTGCAATTCCTTGTAACCAAGATTGTCTCCTAGAGGATGAAGTAAATAAGCTATGGGGGTGAGCTGAAACCGAAATCGACCAACTGTCAGCCAAGTCTCTTTCTTTAGTATTACAAAATTTAAGAGAAAAAACCATTCAGATTACTACAAAGAAACATTTAAAATGAGCTCATTAAATGCAAATTAAAACAGAAACATTGAATAAGCACTGGGCTATAATTAAAGGCTGAAGAAACAGCAGGTAAGAAACAATTTTCATAGATCAAAGACGTGAAAGCTAACAGAGTAAAGTATTTTGCATTAAAACTGCTTTCATGAATATGAAGCATTTGAAGGAGAACTTTCTCTTCCTTTCTTTCTCTTTTCTTATTTTTCAAAGAAGCTTTGGAGGTAGGAATGGATTTGCATATCTTAATACAAAGTACTTTCATTGTATCATTTTTAAGCAATGAAGCTATGAGGTTTAAAAAAAATACAGACTTCAAAAAAAAAAATCCCTGAAATAGAGCCAAAACTGTAAAGGGCATAAGGTCCTTTTACAGCCATTGGACCCAAAAGAGAACTTTGTATAATTACATGAAATCCTCTATGCAAAAGTTTAGCAGAAACTATTTAATCTATTTTGTGACACAGATGTACCTCATAATAAATAGGAGTTTGAGTACTTAGATGCAGAGTTGCTTTCATCTAAAGTTATTCAAATGGCAGGGCAAGTAGCAATACACACTAAGTCAACTAGCAATATAAATTCCAAGACTTTAAAATTTACTGCATACAAACTTTTTAAAAAAATATGTAGATCTGGGAGCCAAGAGTAGCATTAGACTGTAAGTTCCTGATGGCAAGGTTCCTTTGTCTGTTCACTCTTACATCTCTGCCACCTAAAGCATACAGTAGGCACTCCATCCTTGAATCTGCTTTTGTGAAACTAAAGCATTATAAAATGAGAAGTGAAGGCTTTTTCTTCTTCATAAACTTATTTTAATATTAAGGTACACTGCTGTTGACCTAGCAAAAAGGCAATAATAAAAATACTTTGTGGCATACTAGGGGAAAGGGGCACTCATCAATGTGTCAGGAGGGTCCAGCCACCAAGGACAGCATTCAGGTTGTACATTAGAAGGCACTAAGCCTACTGAATGCTCACCACTGGGGAATACTGCATGATTAGAGCATCCCCCAGAATAGAAGGCAAGGCAGAATTACAGGGAAGTGGCTCTGTACATGCAGATACGAAAGTTCTCAAAGAAAGGTTATGTTAAACAAGGTATAGAGGAGACTAAATTTTAATTATTGTTTGGTTTTCTTAATCAAGAATCTTTTAAAAGACATTAAATTCTCAATACTGGCAATATTATCTATCATATGTATATCTGTAAATTTTAATATCTAATTCTACCAAAATACAAAATCTATAGGAAATTTAAATATTTCACAAGTATCACCACTAAAATTCAATTTTAAACACAAATAATTGTTCATTTTTCAAAAGGTGAAATATAATTTTAATAGAGCAGTCAAAATTACATTTTTCTACATTGAATTTTCTTAAGCTTTTCTATTCCGCTTTATATTATCTTGAACTCCTCTACACCTCTCACAAAGGCACAATTTTTCATTGACTTCAATTAAATTATGTTTCTGTAGCTGTCTGGGTCAGGGCATTTAATATGTCAATCATATTCTGAGTGGGAAATCTAAGTACTTTTGAAACAGTCTCAATGCCGGGAAGGGAATCCTCAGCTTTCAGGAGGTAATTTTATTGGTAGTGAGGTAACAGTTGGCTCCTTTCCTTTTCCAGGGGAAAAGGAAATCTTCATGATTTTCCTCAAAAGAGATGGGATTTAAATAGAGAGTACAATTTGCATCAAGGAGAGTGTAGGACTCAGGGAGTACATGAAAGGCACTGCTCTGAGTAGCACTCCTTCACTTAACAGAAAAAAACAACCTTAGATAAATATTCATGTGTATTTTGATCTTCAGCTGAACATTGGGTAAAGACTACCATGCCTTTCTTTCCTGGCCCAGAAGTTTAGTTACAAAGATAAAATGCATCACTCTAGGGCTTCCTTTCATTTACTTTCACTTTTATTTATCTATACAACACACCCAAGTCCAAAACTAGCAGTTCAGATTTTTATTGAAGTGTGACCACCAAGAGAATGAAGCAAGCCACTAGCTGAATAAGATAATCTGCTGCACATTGTCCACATGCTTTTTATATGGAATGTACTGTTCTTGGGAGGGGTGAAGATTTAATCATTTATGTTGTAAAACATACTTATATGCAATATATAAAACAATAGCTGGAGTAAGAGAAAGAACATTTTTTAAAACTTACCTTAAATTTCCCATGTTTTTAGCAGTAATAAATTTGCCTAATCATTCAATCTAAATATCATACTTCTATCTTGGAAAAATTCTGGATAAAACTAAACAAAACAGCCTAAATGTATTTCATCCTAATAAAGTTGTTACTAAAATAATCTATTAGATAATAATTTATAATTAAGTGATGATTTCTATATCTTAATTCCTCTTTATATAGCTTTATAGTAAATGTGCTTCTCTTAATATCATGCATGCACTAGATTAAGAGAGATTTAAAATAAAATGTGTGGAATTGTCTTCAAAGTAAGGTAGAGACTATCATTTTGCTGTAAAAAACTGCCAGCATGAATTTTATTCCTCTACTTGGTTCCCTGATTTAGTTCATATTAGTGCTTATGAGTGAATCTCATGTAAATGTCACATAAAAGGCTCAATAAATGACTCATAAAAGTGTATATTTTTTCTTAATTTGATAATTTAATTTCAAGTCATTCACTAAAAGTTACACCATACTAGAAAAGTAAGAAAAATTGGACAACACCCTTAGGCTTTTTACCATTAACTGCAATGGCCATGTTAGTTAACTGGCATGACTCTCCCAAAAATGTGTATAATGTTTAATATTTGAGCCTTACTTCCAAAAATAAAAACATGTAAAAAGGGTTTTCTGTGCATAAACATCCACCTCTCCTCATCTTTCTTCTGGACAGACAACACCTGATATCAAAAGTGCATGTTGCAATCAAAGGCAAGCAAGATCCCCAAACTTACAATAAATAATCTGGAGCAACTCTCTGCAATAATGAACTCCCCACACAGCTGTTTTCTACACATACCACCATTTCCACTAATTTTTGAGGATAGCTCCTAAAGTAATTTTTGGCTTAACAACCCTGTAAGAGAAGACCTTTGCTGATCTTAGACTTCGCAGTGTTTATAAGTCTCTACACCTACCTCCAAAGTTTGATACGCAAAATGCACCTAGGTGCAAAAGATTTCATCTTTGCTCTCAATTATTTCTTACATTTCATATCTTCAAGAAGAGATGCAAAAGGAGGATCCCAGGGAGCAAGATATTTAAATCCACCTGGAGGTATTTCTTTTGAACCCAGCCATCATGCCCAGTCTAATGCTTAAGTTTTTCCTTAAAGAGTCCTAAAGACAGTGGGTCCCTAACTGTCCTAAGCTGACAGACAGCCGCCAGGCCTCCTTAAGGAACGCGAGGGCAGGAGGTCGGAGTGGGAACCGACTTGGGGCGGCCCTCTGTGCAGGGCTGCGGGAGCCCAGGGGGCGCGGCTGCGCGCACCTCTTCCCTGGCAAGTGGTCTTCCTGGGAACCCTGTCGAGCCACGGCGGGGCGGGGCGGGGACTGCACACACACTTATGCTCCTGGACATCCCACCAGGCCAGCGAGGCGGGCCCAGATCCGCCCTGGAGCGGCCCGGCGGCGCGGGCGGAGGGTGGCGCGACACTTGCGCCCTGTCACTGACAGGTGGCCCCGGCCGGCACCCGAGGTTTCCGGGTCGGCCTGGGCGCGGGTCGGCGCAGAGAGGCTGTACCTGGCAGGCACCCACGTACCTATCATGGTCACTGGGCAGGTGGCGGCTACCGGGCAAGCCGGGGGCCACACGCGCACCGGCGCCGCCCGCGCCTCCCACCACCGGCTCTCCCTCAGCTTAAGTCCTCCAGGCCTCCCCGCCCCCGCGCCCGGCGCCCGGCGCCCGGTGCGCACGCGCAGGAGGCCCGCAGCCCGGCGCCTGCTGGGAGTCGTAGTTTGGTCGCGTGGCTTCGACTCACGCCACCACCCTTTCCGCCTTCAGGCCCAGGAAACGTACGTCACGGAGGGGCGCGGCTCCGGGCTCGTAGTGTTGACGAGTCGCTTAGCAACCGGGAGGCTAACCTTTGGAAGCTTGTTGCAGCACTAGCCGCGGTCCTGCCCTCTTCCTGCCCCTCCCCTCCCTCAAACTCCCTTCACCAAGGTGCTGCCAAACACCTGGATCGACCTGGCACCTCGAGAGGCTGAATTTCTACCAGTAACGCGCCTTTTACGTTTTTTTCCCCGATCTCCCGCTCACATCCGTAAAACCCTCTGATTCTTTTACTACATTTTTTTTTATGAGAACAAGACATTTTCTAGGAAGATGGTGGCAGAAAAAGAGACCCTGAGCTTAAACAAATGCCCAGACAAGATGCCGAAGAGGACCAAGCTGCTGGCACAACAGCCGCTCCCGGTGCACCAGCCTCACTCCCTGGTTTCTGAGGGCTTCACAGTCAAAGCCATGATGAAAAACTCAGTCGTAAGTGATCTTCCTCAATTGAACGCACTCGCTCCCTGGCAGGGGACACGACGTTGTAGAGGTTGGCTGGCCCTCCAATGGATTCCCAGCCCATGTCCTGGGTAGGCTGCCAAAAATGCCAGTTCTTCAGAGCCCACCACTGGGTGGAAGTCCGGCTAGGTCGTTAGGAAGGCTCTTGGGCAGCTGAGGGACCGTGCCCGTTTACAAGCATCTTCCTGGTAACTTGTGGCTTCTAGACCACCCCAAATATTTACACAGAGAAAGAACCCTTACCTTAACAAAGTCTCAACTAGCCCTACTTAGCAAAGGGCCTGATAGAAGGCGAGTTCTTAGAAAGCATAAACTCTTGCAAAACTTAACATGTGCTCTTACACAGCTGGGAACATAATAATCTACATAGTTAAATTATCTACAATAATAAACATTTATTCCACCTCGGACATTGTAGAATATAGTAGAATTTGTTCTAACATCATTCTTACAAAATGGTATCAGCCAGTTACAGTACTGAAAGGCAACTTAATATGAAACCTATATCCTGATAGCCTTTTAAATACATTTTAAACAATTCAAGCTTTAGTTCAAGTATCTCGGCTTTTGAATACAATTCATATTTCATTTCTATTATTTGTGGCAATAAAAATAAAGTATGTTCAATACCATTAGGGGAAAATACATTAAATGCACATAAATGGTTTAACTCCATGAATGATAATTTTTAAGACCTTCCTATTTGTTTAATAGCTTTGAATTTGATATGCTAAACCAGACTTTCTACTGAGTTAGCACCTGTCTGGGAATGAGACATTAAATAATAAAGGCAACTTTTAGATTTGTGTAATTTACACCCTGGGAAGATCTGACTTATTGTATGGCAATTCATTTTGTTAAATGAGTAGTGTTGTTTTCCAGCTTCACACTATTTGTTTTACTTACATGCTGCAGACATAATATTACTTCATTACTAAACTGCATCCTTAAAATTTATGAATGAAACAGATTACCTGTAGACTTCTAGGTCACATTACAATGTTGCTCCACAAAATGGTATTCTCAGTTTTGGGTTCGGTGTCAGCTGATATGCAGTAGTTAAAATACTTGAAAATAAACTAAAAATTCCTGTGATAACTGGAGCCCTTTCTCATAGATTTTCATTTGAATGAAATGTAATGGGAATCAAGAAGACATTTGTCAGCCTACAAAATACCATTTGTATTCAAGTTAATCATTCAGTTTTTCCTTTTACACAATACTTATGATTATAATTTTGGTGATTTTCAGTTATATTTTAACATCCCAAATTCATTTTAAATGTCATACTTTGTTTCATTCTTATCTCATGTCAGTTCTTTAACATGGCCTTATACTTGAGGTCATAGTTTTTCAAAATTAGGTACTTCACTGTTTCCAAACATAATAAATATGCCTACAAGACTTAAAAAAGAAAGATTATGAAATAGCCTTTTAAACAAATGATTAACTTGAGGTAAACTACTTTATCTTTTCATATTTTAAAGGAAAATCTCTTAATGACAATACCTGTATTTCTATTGGAATCCCCAAAACAGCATGTAATATTTTAACTTAGTTTAACATCAATAATAATTCTAAGAATCAAACATTTGTTCACTCAGTCAACAACTCTCTGTCTCTGTTTCCCACCATTTTCTCATAATAGCTCTAGGGATTTAGAATGGGCAAAACAAAACCTCTGTCCTTAGTGTTCTAAGGTAGACCTACTAAAACAACAATTAAAGTCTTGATAAAAGAAAGACAATACTTTTCATTAAAAAAACTTCACAGTAGTAGAGGAAATGATGTTTCTTTTTCTCACCCAAAATTTGTATTTTACCATTTTTGTTTTTAATAGTGTAAACTTTCCAGCATTATAAAGTAAAAGTGTTCCTCTCTTGCTAAAGGTGTATTTTTATTCAGAATTTATTTGCCAATTTCCAGTTTTTCTTAATTGAAACCCCACATTCCAAAAGTCAATACCCACAACCATTTTTCCTGCATTAGAGCTCACCTTCAGTTCCCTCTGTCAGACCCTAATTGATCAGATAAGCCACCATTTCAATGCTCTTTCTTGCGGAACCTGTAGGACTATTCCTTAAGGGGAACGCAGACTTGAGATGTCTCTGTGAGTGCTATGGGAACATGAGTGCACAGACTTGGTCATGAACAAATCTGATCAGATGGGTTCAAGCAAAGACCCTTATTAAACAGTCATAATCTGAGTGTGAGAACTCAAAATTATTGACAAAATAATAATAAACATAAGCAGCAAGATTTTAAGATTTCAATGACAATTATAGTTTATTTTATCTCCATAATTTTTTTCATTCTATATGAAAATAAACAATTATGAAATCCCTGCAATCAGAGAATGATATTCAAATTCCTATTGTTATATTGTATACCTATGAAGAGTAAAAGGAGATTCATAATTTAATGATTTCATAGTTTATTTTCCCAGAGATGAAATAACAATACCTTAACAAAATAGAAGTTGTTTCTCTCACATGTAAATTTAAAATGTAGGTAATCCAGAAGGTTGGATTATTTGTTCCTGTGAGGTTGGTCCATGGGCATGGAAACTAACTTTGTATCCTGTAGGATGATATCTGAGCCAAAGTTACATATTAAAAAAATCAGAGAATGATGCTCAATTGGATTGTATCCAGGGCTTCATGCATGCTCTTCCACTGAAGTATACCCCCAGTCTCTATGTCCTATATCCCTATATTTTACCTTTTGTAAAAATCCAAGATTGATCCTTGAAGCATCTCCTAGGCCCCCATTCATGTCTCATTAGGAAGAGGGTTGAGAAAACCCTACTTTAGGCAGAAGGAGAGCAAAACAGTAAACTGCAAGAATGAGCCAGGAAAAAACTGGAGAGAAGCAGCTTCATTATGAGGGCATGTTGCAGAAGTTGGCTATATCACTTCTCCTTAAATCCATTGCCAAAACTTAGTCTTCTGGCCACAGCTGTTTGTAAGAGAGGTTAGGAAATGTAGTTTCTGGCTATTAAGCTCAGACTTGAAGTGTTATTACTGTAGCAAATGAAGAAGGACATTGGGGGATAATGAGAAGTTTCTGTCACCAGTGCTATGCTATGCCATTAGTGACGAAAAAGATAGAGACAAATAATTACAAGAAAAATAAATAGCCTGAGTAGCAGCAACCTGACAGGGTCCCTGATCATCTTTTGTCTGGATTTGTGTGCTTTCATCCAAACTGGTCTCCAGCCTCCCCCCAACAGTTGATTATCAGTACTATGTCACCAATCTTTCCAGTGCAAAGTTCTGCTCATGTCACTACTCAAAGTTTTAGAGGTCCCCAATTCTTAGAGAAAACAAAACAATGATACTGTCACAAGACCAGCAAAGCATTCTATGATCCAGTCCTATTCTGAGTTCAATTTCATCTCCAATTATCCACTCTCATTCAATTCAGCCTATCTCAGCCCAGGAAATAAACTATAGAGTCCTTCATGTTTGTGACTTTGCTTACATTGTTCCCTCTGCTTGAATGCCCTTCTCTCTGCATGTCTTCATATACAGACTCATTCTGTCACCAGGGAACCGAAATCCGTAACCACGGACCGAGTGCTCAACACTGTTCCAGTGCTAGTAGTTTAGCAGTCAGTAAGAGACAGAACGTGTTGCCAAGAGGTGTAGCTTTTGTCCATCAAAATGACAGCTTCTCTAGGAAGACTTCCTAATTCTTCCTCCCTGTCATCCAAGACAGAAAGTTATCCTTCATTTATTCTTTTCTATTTTGTATTATGGCTATTTCTGCTCATGTTTTATCCCTTCATGTAAATTCCCTGTGAGGATAGGAAGCTACATCTAACTCATTTTTCAAATTTTAACCAGAACCAAACAGTGTACTCAATAAACGTTTGTTGAATGAAGAAAAGCAATTCTACCCTTTCTTCATATCTCATTCTCCCCCGCCTTCTTGTTGTTATAATTGATTTTTGTCTTTAGTTAGAATTTTTTTAAAAAAAATGATGCCAATTTGAGACCAGCAGGTCCCTTTAGAACTCAGCCAAATCATGACAATCCTCATCTATAAAATCCTCAGTTGACTTACTTCACTCAGAATAAAACCTAAATTTTCTTACACTCCTTGAAAGCCCTGTGTGATCTGGCCACCTCTGCTTTTTTATGTGTATTAGACATTTCTCCCTCACTTGTCCAATGCCATTAACAGTGGCTTCCTGGTTGCTCCTTAATGCCCCGTTACAAGGCTTTCTGTCTTTGCCCTTCCAGTCCCCTTTTCCTGAAACACATGTCACCACCTCTTGCTGCTTCAGACTTTTCTTTAAAGCTGTGCTGCTCAGTGAGGGCTTCCCTGCGCTCTGTTTAACATGGCAGCCCCACACACTCCCCCAGGCCTGCTCCATCACTCCTGTCTTCCTTTAATCTTACAGTTTACACCCCCCCACACACACCGTGTTAATTTGATTGAACCTGTGTTTTCCTCCACTGAAGAGTCAGCTTCTCATAGACGGGAATTCTGCTCTTTTGCTAGCTGCTGCACCCCAGCTCAGGAAATAATCCTGGCACATAGTGTCTGCTTTTTATTTTGTCAAATGAAGTAGTGAATGAATATTCTATACTTAAGAAATTGACTTTAAATTAGCCATATTAGAAATCAATTAGTATTATATATTAATTCCTTAATATATGCTAGGGCTAGTCATCTCTCTTCCATTTGTATTTTCCAACCAATCCTATGAAAAAGCAGGGAAGACTACTTTTTCTACTAAACGTTTTATTAGCACATATAACTCTCAGATAAATGGAAGAGCAAGGAAAAGAACCTAGATTTCTAAATTTTTTAAAACTCAGTCATCTATAGAATTTTTTTAGATGCTAATTAATGTACAATATGCATGAGGAAAGGGCATGTTAACATGAATGTTAAACCAAACACTGTGGTCACCAGTTGACACATGGAGAAGTGTCATCCACTCTACAAAATTGTGTTAT